TGGCATACTAAGTATGCTATGCTGCCATTAAAGTATATGAGAGAGAGAGACAGAGAGAGAAAGGGAGAGAGGGAGAAACAGGGAAAGAAAGAAAGAATGCACCGAAAGGAGCCATTGACTGAAGAGATACAAAGTAATAACAAAAAATACTTTGAAAGACTACAGGAGAAATTTGTGAGCTGACTATTTAACATCATAAATTCTCAGTCTATAAAAGCTAATATTTTAGTAAATGTATTTCACTAGAATATATATAGTAAGTCTATTTTCATATTAGAAACACTGATGTTGGTTAATAATATATTAAAAACAAACAGTGGTGTGGGCATAATAAAGTAACATTAGTGACACGTTAGTGAGGCTTCATTAAGAGAGTTAAGCAAGCAGAGAGTAAAGGGAAGCAACTGGCTGCACTGAGCATTTGGTTTTACAAATTCTTCCTTAAAATGTGATAGATTTGATCATTAAACATCGTATACATGTATCAAAATGTCACACTGTACCCCATAAATATGTACAGTTCATTATGTGTCTATTAAAATAATAATAAAAGCAAGAACGCATTGCTGCTAGCTGATATGTGACCACTCAGCTTCTGACTTCTCACCCTCGAATGAGAGGCATGTGTCATGTGATCTCTATCAAATAAGGGATGCTGAGCTCTGAGGTGGGAGGGGTATTTGAGACTATAGTAGAAATGTCACAAGAGTGGGCTGTAAGGACCCGGTAGAGTCACCGTCCAAAGCAGAAACCAAATCAAGATACCCAGCAAGGATACAGTTAATACCAAATACTGACCCAGCAGATAGCCAGGTTCTGAGGAGCTAACCACACAGGAGGTGCAGTCAGAGCAGGAATGGGGGTAACGTCAGGAGCAGCCCCTTCTGCAGGTCAAAAAGTCAGGATATCATCAAAGCCAGGGAGGCTCTACAAGGTCCTCAGCCCAAGTCTTTTTGAAGAGAAGACCAACCAACTGCCTGTCCACAGTTAACCAGGCTGCAGATGTGTGACCACATGCTTCTCTGACCTGAGCCAAGCAGGAACACACACCTGACAGCTGGTTCTGGCAGCCAGACACTGAGAAGCACCAAACTGGGAGTCACTCTCTGAGAAGAGCCCAGGATGTGCAGGTGGGAATGCAGGTGCTTTTCTCTATATCACACCTGCCTGCTAAATGGCTCTCTGTCCCTTTCTTATCCTGTCTCTTCGACAAAGAGAAGATTTCTAGGGAACAAATGCAGGCTGTTGGATAAATGTGTAATCTTTCTGGAGATGGGGGCCAAGTGAAGAGATAAATAGGGCTTGAAGAAGGAAGTTAAGAAAACTAAGGTAATCAGAATGAATGGGTGAAAAAAGCAACCTCATGAATTCCTGGGTGGTATGGTAGGGAGGATGGGGAAAATCCATAATTAGGATATTCTGCAGATAGACAACAGAGAATTCAAGTCCAAGCATAAGAGCTTGCATTTCTAATCAGCTCATGCAACATCATGTTTGCAGTGTTCACCATTTCTAATATTCAAGCACCCTCTTTTAGAGTCACAAATGCTATAATTCATCACATCCAGGCGTGCAAAATCATCCTTTTTCTAGCACTAAACATGTTTAATCACAACGATTTATAATAGCACGTTAAGACTTTAATGAAAGGAAGGCATTGGATACATGATATTTACAGTAATCATAATACTATAATATTTAAAGTATAATTTTTGACAGTGTTAAAGCAGGAAGTCAAATTGTCCATATTTTTAGTTGATTATTTAAAATGCTTTTGGGGGGACTCAGCATCCAGAAATTAACAGTTTTCCTCTGTGCAATTGTCAGTGTTATCACTGGTTACTGCTACTGGCTGCCAACCCTTTTATATCGTAGCTCTAGTGGCAATCAGCAATTAATGCTAACCACTTGTCCTAATAGCCAAATGCCAAATGTCATACCACATGCAGAATCATAATTATGCTTTAGGAAGTGGACGGGTTTGGCTTTGTCAGCCAAGAATTAACTGCAAATTTGGAGGCGCACTTGAACTAGTGCTTGCGGAACATATCTGTGATACCTCAGCCTCAGAGTTCCCAGGATGTTTTTCAAGGATAGCAGTTTCTTTCTTTTTTTTCTTTTTTTTTTTTTTTTTTTGAGATGGACTCTAGCTCTGTCACCCAGGCAGGAGTGTAGTGATGATCTTGGCTCACTGCGACCTCTGCCTCTGGAGTTGAAGCAATTCTGCCTCAGCCTCCTGAGTAGCTAGGATTACAGGTGCACACCACCATGCCTGGCTAATTTTTGTATTTTTAGTAGAGACAGGGTTTCACTATGTTGGTCAGGCTGGTCTCAAATTCCTGACCTCATGATCCACCCGCCTCGACCTCCCAAAGTGCTGGGACTACAGGCGTGAGCCACCACACTCAGCCAATGATAGTAGTTTCATACAAAGCTAAGGGCCTTGAAATCTTTCTCCCAAGGGACCTAAACATTTCTTTGTGAAGCTCTAAAGGTTCCCTTTGCTGTCACTTTTGGGATCAGTCAAATTTACACATATTCCAGCTTCACTTAGTGATTCAAGTTCCTGTGTAGGTGTTCGCTGTTAACCACATGTCACATGCTTCACAGCCCTTGGTGACATGTGTTTATTTGGGAAGGTAAGTCCATGAACCACTGCCTTCCTCATATTTTACAAGTTTTCCCTGACTCAGGGAAACAGAAGGGGGTCTTCCATCAATAGGCAGCAATGTGGTACATGGGGTAAGGTAAGGAAGGAATGTTACCTGGATTACTGCCCACAGCCCCCTCAATAATGAAACAGCATCAAGGCACAGCAGCATCTCACACTGTTAAGAGTTCAGATTTTGCCCGGCTCAGTAACTCACACCTGTATTCCCAACATTTTGGAAGGCGGAGGTGAGAGCATTGCTTGAGCCTAGGAGTTCGAGGCTACAGTGAGCTATGATCAGGCCACTGCACTCCAGCCTGGGCAACAGAGTGAGACCCTGTCTCTAAAAATAAAAATGAATGAAAAAAAAGAATTTAGATTTCTACTGACTTCAAACTTCAACACAATCATGAACACTAAATTAGTGAAATATTAGAAACCCTCAAATCAAAACCAAAACCCATTTTTCTACCCAGAAGTTGTAGAAAGCTTGGACTCGCCCAGGGCCCACCTCTAGAAAGTGCCCGGGACACCCTGCATGCATTCTGTGTTCTCATGCCACCCGGGCTTCATTTGTTCCTCTCCTTGGTTCCCTTTGTCCTGATTTATTTTCTTAGTATCACTATTATAATTAATGATAATTATGCATTCTAATTTAGTTTTGTGCATTTTCTAAAACACTTAAATCTTCTTTAAATACGATAGAATATCATTATGTTTCAACTATAAGAGTTGCCCTGATTCCTTTTCTCAAAGCTTTACTCTTTTCTTTACTTTTTAAAATTTTCTTACTTTTTTCATACAGTTTTAATAAACTCAGTCATCCAATTTCACAGCACACAGCAACTCAGAAGACCACAGCTGGCAGAAAGTGTGGTTGTTGACATAGTACAATATAGTAATCCTACTTAATAGATGCTGAATGCAACAATAAATAGATAAATGAGTAAATTAGTAGGTGAGTAATATCTTAGAGCTCACCAAGGAGAAGGTAGAAATCATTTAAAAACAAATATAAGAAGCAGCAGCATAATAGTCAAGGCCCATTTGGTATAGGTGTGACCTCTCTGGGGATTTCAAAAGCCTTTGATGATTGTAGAACTATATTTTATTTTATTTATTATTATTATTACTTTTTTTGAGACAGGGTCTCAATTTGTCACCCAGGCTGGAGTGCAGTGGTACTATCTCTGCTCACTGCAGCCTCAACCTCCTGGGCTTAAGCAATCTTCCTGCCTCAGCCTCCAAGCAGCTGGGACCACAGAAATGCCACCACTCCCAGCTAACTTTTGTATTTTTAGTAGAGACAGGGTTTCACCATATTGGCCAGGTTGGCCTTCAACTCCTGAGCTCAAGTAATCTGCCTGCCTGAACCTCCCACAGTGCTGGGATTACAAGCATAAGCTACCGTGCCTGACAGAAGTATAGTTAATACTGATGAGTCTAACTCCATTCCTTCAAGAAAAACTCAAAGTATTTGGGGAAATCTTTGTTTAAGAAGACAGGTATATGTATCATACACCTTAGAAAACTTTTCATTTGAAAACAACAAAATAAAAAACATAAAATTCCAAGGCAGAGAAATCTTCAGCTGTCTGGAAAATTCCCTTCTTTGTCATGCCTCATTCTCTGGCCGTGCCCGATACCTGGATTGATGATGAACTCATATTGCTAGTTCTCAGGTGGGAACAACACCTCAAAGAAGTACTGTGGGTAGAGAATGCTTTCTGTACTAGCCTCTGACTCACTTGATGGTGATACAGTAGGAGCAGTTCCAACCAAACCCAGCACGGTACTAGCATCCTGAAAGGTAGCTCATTACCAGGAGGAAGGGAGAGCTCTGTGCAAGCAACCAATAATTCATTCTCTTTCTCCACTAAGTGATTACGCCTTAAGACCCCTAAACTGAATGACTTACAGAATGACCTGATTCCCCTCATTGCCCATGTGCACCAAACCTTGGTTTCTGTAACCTTATCAAAAGAGAAGTTCCTGGGTGTGTGCTCAAAATGCTTTAGACAAATGATGTTTCACAAATGGAAGATATGATAGAAATTTTACTATTATTTGAGATTGACTCTCCAGAGATATAAATCACAGCCCTAGACCATGGCAACCACAGACCCTGGGTTGCCCCAGTGGTGACTCTGTCCAGTCCATTTCCCACTTGAGCACAGGAAGTAGCACAAAGTAGGGGCTGCAGTTTCAGGAGGAAAGCAGGTTTGTTATCACAAACCTGTTTTTCCCGGCCAGTTAAATAGAGGCAATCATAGCCAGCAGGCTCAAACCCACACTTTTCTCAATTACCGTGAGCAAACATAGATTGACTTATTTTTTTTTCTGTTTACAGAATTACGCAAAACTTATTCCTGGAGCTACAGTAGGGGTACTTCAGAAGGACTCCGGAAACATTCTCCAGCTGATCATCTCAGCTTATGAAGTAGGATATTTTACAGCTGGCTTCTTTCTTGCATTTCTTTGGTATTCGAAAACTAAGATGTTATTTAGGCTGTTAAATGTTAGTTACTTGTTGGTAGAGAAAGTGCTTATTCAAAAAATGTCTCTGTATGAATGCAGCCAAAATATAAATTTTGTTCATTTTGTTTGCTGATCTTCTTTTTGAAAGGTGTAGCTGAAGATAGAAAAACCATAAAACTGATCATAAAGTTGAGGTTGTTTTTATAATAATAAGCAACAGCAACACTGTTGCCAGGACAATTTTAAAGCCTCCACAACTCATACAATTAAGCTCTCCTCTGTCTGAAAAATATGAAGTTTAAATTGCCAGTGAGTGATGGAATTATGTGGAGAGCTAACTCTACAGGCTTGACAAGACTAGGTCATAACTCAAGCAAAAATACAAGTGTTGGCCATGCACCAAAACACCAGTACACAAAAAATGCTGCTTTTTAGTTTCTATACCTTTGGGAACTCGGGACATTTTCCACTGGTTTGTGAGTAGGTATGTAATTTTTTGCTTTGACTTTGGGAATTAGTACCTGAGGACAGAATCCCTCCCTTAAAATTAGAATAGGTACCTACAATGTTGCTATGTTCTCATTCTTTGCCCCCATTTCATAACTCAGTCAACAATGGATGGCCGGTTGTCAATTATTTTTAATTTTGTTTCCTAAATATCACCCCCCTTTTTTTTGCCTTTACATACAAAGAAATACACACACACACACACACACACACACACACACACAAACACAGATCGAGAGAGAGAGAGAGAGAGAAAGCCCTAAATTAGGATAGGAATGAAAAAAAGTAAATTTTTTAGAAAGGAGTAAAGCTTTAATATTTACTTTAAACAGCAGCTATCTAAGAACAAATTAATAACAACTCTCCTGATTTTTGATGGTTGAAAACGACAAACAAATGGTCCATATGTAGTATATGCCAACACATAGTATGTACTGAACCAGCATTCTTCAACTAAAATGACATATCAGAATCAACAGGGAAAGTTTTTAAAAAATAGGTCTATCCAGATTCCCTCACAGACATTTTTGAAGGACTTTAGAAGAAATGAGAGCTACATATTTTGGAAACAAAAACAAAAACTCCCCAGTGATTTTGACATTGCCCCACCAATTTTTGAAACTCCTCTGAAGGAGGAAAAGCAAGATATTCCTTCTTAAATACTTGATTTCTTCAGAAAATAAAATACAGATGTGTTCATTAAAATTATAGGATGATGGTTTTGTTTGGTTTTGTTTGTTTTACTGACAGCCTCAGAAATTTCAGTTTTCTTAGATCACATCAAATTAATCACCACATTAGCTCATGCTTGAAATTGTTCCAGACAGAGAATGCTCATCAACAAAATGCTATAAAAACCTTCCTCCCTCTCAAGCAGTAATTAAAGTTTTAATGTGTAGAATCAAATAAAATCACACAGCAATCCTTCACTGTACTAGAACACACCTATTTTTTCGAACCCAGTACTCTCAACAGTGTTGGCCACTAACATCTTCAAAGAAATCAGGCAGATTGGAAAACACTAAATTGTCAAAAATATTTCCCCTCCAGTGAGAGCAGCCCCCCCCCCCCCATGCCTCTGCTTGCTCTGCCAGGGGTTATGGCTCACTTTATGATCCCAAAAACTTCACATGACTTACAGGGTAGTTGAAATCAAGGCATGAAACATTTAAATTAAATTTTCTGTTCTTGTTTTGCTATCTCAGAAATACTAAAAAGAAGTATCTATTATTCTCAAATGAAACCATCTTGCACTGGAGTTATTATTGAAACTTTATGATTCACAGGGCAAAGTCTGTACTAGATCCTGGCACTAGTTCAAATTATTTTTCTATTGTTATTTTTAAATGTATGTTAAAAGGAATTTAAAATATGGGGACAGAATTTCTTCCTAATCTATAAAAAGAGAGAGAAGGAAAGAGAACATATTGAGAGAAAGTACAAAATGCTTCTGACTGACCTCTAGTAGGGCAGAGGTAGACACTTTGTGTTTGTAACTTTGTGGCTAAAAACTTCAGTTCAGTATTTTACAGTGCCATATTGATATTTTAAAAAACGTTAAACATCCATATGTATTTATCTGATCATCATTCACTAGTTTTCTTTCTTCCCCAATCATATAATAAAAGCTACTGAATTATCAGCAATCCCAAGAATAAGTTCCCCTGCTGGCATTTGCATTTCAGGAGGGAATTGACTTGGTTTCTTTTGCTTTTCCTGGTTCATAAGAGATGCTCGATAAATGAATGAATGAAACTATGAAAAATGCAAATAATCATTTATGTAATTTCGTTAGAAAATTCACACTAAAATATTCCTGGTCAAATCTGCGATGTGCTGTTGAATTATAGCAATGCTGAAATTTCCTTTATTTAGGTCAGATCATGTCATCTGCTGGATCTCATTATTGCTGTCATGGCCTTCCTGGTCATATCCCTCATTCTTCATTCAGCTCCTGACTCTAGCTCCAACATTGCTTCTATTTTAATCTTATTGTTTCAGTGTAAACAATAGGCAGAGTCATTTTACTATACATTTGGCAAACTTGCACATAGGTATCAAAGATCTCATATAACCCATAAATATATATACATACTATGTACTCACAAAATTTAAATTAAAACAAAATTTTTTAAATTACAGTTAAGGAAAATTTGAAGCTGAATATGCTTTTAAAATGCCAACAAGCAAATGGGTATGTGGACTTAAAACTTTTGGATTAACTGAAGTATAAATTAATTCATAATATTTTTAAATTGCTTTTATTCTGTTTTTCTATTTTTCATAATTTGGTTTGGTTCACCCAAAATATGGACTTTTATTTTGTAAGTGAACAAGGAAGAGAGAAAGTAAGATGATAAACTTCTTGAGGGCAGAAAGCGGTCTTGTGTTATTCCCCAGACCTAACTCCAGACTAAATGTGCAGTAGGTACTATATACCTTCCAATACTGATTTTAAGGCACGCTTTCCCCCCACATTTCAACGTCTCTAAAATTGAGCTGCACCTTACAATTGATGGTGAATTACAATCACCATTATGGTGCCAGCCAGCAGTCATGATGTAGTTTTCATGGACAATTGTGATTATACTCACTTTAATTTATTAAATGCATTGTTGCTACTTAAGTATTAAGTTTAATTGCTGTTTTAAAATATCTTCAAAAAACGTGTACTGTGAGTCGATATTGAAATGAAAGTGTATTACGTATGCAGAAATGTACCAAAACAGAGAAGCAGGGTGTAAATTTGCTATCAATGAAGCAAATATTCATTGGTGGAGGAATGACTTCAATTCTGGATTCTTTGTGAAGCAACAAACAGCTGGTTTATGGGAGCTAAGAAATCATGATACACCTAAAGGAAGCTGTTGTTAAATTTTGTTACTGAGATATAAGCAAAAGAATTGCCTTTCATATGCCAGTCTATGCAATGCAGGGCAGGAGAATTTGCCAAATCTTTCAGAATGGGTAAAATAATTTTCAAAGCAATGATAGATGGACAGGACTGACTCGTATGTTGTGCAGGACATCTTGAGGTATTTTGTCATAGTTTAATTGTCATAAGATAATGGCGTATCTTATAATTGTTGATGCCTTAGATTTGGTAACATATGAAATGCATATATTGATGGCTCACTCTCTTGCTTTTGACTGATGATATACTGAATTTCTTTTGGCGCCCAATTTAGTTTCATTCATTTGTAGTTCAATGAGCATGATTCACAGTTTCTTCTTCTGGCTATATTTTTGGGGTTGTGACTTCACTGAACTCTTTTATGTTGTAACTAAAGGAACTGCGGTCTGAGGTGGAACTGGAAGTATTAGGAGACACTGAAGGACTCAACTTGTCATTTACAGCCATGTGTAACAACGGTACTCTCTTCCCACACCAAAAGAAATGCTCTCACATGAAAGTGGGGGACACAGTAAGTAGCTGGTCAATAGACCATCTGGATAGATACTTGGATGGGTCAGAAGTTAGCTGAGCTCACTGAAGCTGGATTTCTTTTAAGAATTTTAAAAGCAATTTTCAAAGATTTTTCTAGTAAATGCTTTTGGCAGAGCTGATTTCCATGCAGCCTTGTTTCGCCTCATGCATTTTGGTGGATGCAAGGAGATAATTAGTATTTTCTTTTTCAGGCTTCCTTCAACGTGACTGTGAATATCCCAAACTGTGAGAGAAGAAGCAGGCACATTATCATAAAGCCTGTGGGGCTGGGGGACGCCCTGGAAATACTTGTCAGTCCAGAATGCAACTGCGACTGTCAGAAAGAAGTGGAAGTGAACAGCTCCAAATGTCACCACGGGAACGGCTCCTTCCAGTGCGGGGTGTGTGCCTGTCACCCTGGCCACATGGGGCCTCACTGTGAGTGTGGTGAGGACATGCTGAGCACGGATTCCTGCAAAGAGGCCCCAGATCATCCCTCCTGCAGTGGAAGGGGTGACTGCTACTGTGGGCAGTGTATCTGCTACTTGTCTCCCTATGGAAACATTTATGGGACTTATTGCCAGTGTGACAATTTCTCCTGCGTGAGACACAAGGGGCTGCTCTGCGGAGGTAGGCTATGTCCAAATCCATCTGACCCTGTGGCTGTTCAAGTCTCAGGAAGCGGCTTGGCATCCTCTGCCCCTTCCACAGTTTACTGGGCATAGTAGGTGCTCAATAAATATTTGCTGATCAGCCTTAGACCTAGGGTAACTGAATCTTCTCTAGTAGGTTTTCTGGCTCTAACATTCACTTGGGGTGAGATCTCTGCCAACTGAACGTGTATCTCTATTATTGTTTCCCTGAGAATAAGTGAAAGATAAAGTGCCTTCTCTCTGGTTGTCACCCGAACTCTACAAAAGTGCCTGTAATAGGAACTCCATTACCTTCCAGGTTTTTCTGGATCAAGCCACTATGTCTGACTGGCCTTTTAAATGTGTATTACTTTGGAAAAGTAAAAACTAGATGGACTGCTAAATGAGCATGCTAACAAGGATAAGGAGCACAAAAATATACTAAACAGGCTTTCAGGGCCTTCACTCATTCCACAAATATTTATTAAACACCTACTAAGTGCAGATACTAGGTTAGGCACTGGGCATAAGAAAGATGAGTAAGTGCATATGTGAAAAAGCCTACAGGAAGGACAAAGACTTGGAATATCCTGAGAAATTTGAGAAAAATTTATAATAGAAATATGCATGTTTAAATATCCTATGTAGATGTGAAATCACTGTAGTTTAAGGATATACTGTATATGACTTGTAAAATCATTCTGATATATACACATATATAAGTATAACCTATTCAAAAAAGAATTACCAATATGTTAATATACTTTTAAGCAACATAAATATGTGTTATAGATTGAAATATTAACTGAATGCTGAATTTAAGCTTTAATGTCTCTGTTCACATTATGTAAGCAGACAGCTATTCAAATCAGAAAGCCATTATCTTTATAGAAAACTAAGCAAGTTATGTTTTTAAAAGACAATGTCAGGAACATATGAAAAACCCTAATTTTCAGGGGAAAAAAAAGACCTGAGAGAAGGAAGCATCAAAGAATTCCAGGCTTTCTGAAAACCATTTGATACCCTTAGAAGTGTACCCACCTTTCATTTCGTTGCTGCTGCTGTTGCAGCCAATAGGTTCTTCTGAGAATATATGCCTTTTTCCCCCCAGAGAGTGAAAAACGTATATGGTCTGTGCTGATCAAGACACATTTCTCTCCCTTTTCATTCAAAGGTTTATTTCCTGGTTTAATAGGTGCGTTTCCAAACCTACGTAAGTCCTCTTTTCACATGACACAGGTGGGGCACAATCTGAAGGTAACAAGAAGCCATCCAAAAGCCATAACCACATTGCAGAGAGGGTATCTCAGGCAGAATCCCATATTGCATCTCTAATAGAAATCTCGTAATAAAACACATGTTCAAAACACTTGAAATTACCTTTCAAAAAGCCCCAAGTGTAATCTAACAGAATATAATAGAGTTACTAACACGACCAATATTTCACCCTTTAAATCTTGGATCAAAGAGATCTAAGGGGGTATAAATCGCTGAACTGTGTTTAGCAACAGAGCTTTCCTTGATGATCTTTTACTTTATTTTGTACCATGCATGAGGAACAGAAATAAACTCAAAAAAAGTTGACTTGATCTGTGGATTGTAGCTAGGAAGTTCTGACAGCAATGTCTCTCTTTGAATCAGATACAGTGATTGCTACAGAAATTCTATTTAGAAAATAGAATGATTTATTTGGCTAGATTCAGAAAACTTCACCTATGCCAATTTCCTTCAACCATTACTGTTTCTCAAAAGCTATTTTGGTTTTTAGTGACATCGCAAAGGATGCTGCTCTATAATAAGTAATTTTTCTTTCAAATGGTATAATAAAAGTAGATGCAATTACAACAAATGGTTATGGAGTACCTACTATGTACCTGACATTGTGCTTAGCGCGGGGTCAAAAATTGTGCGTGGCATTGGAATAGAGACTCTACTGCTGCTGTTGTTTTATTTGCAACAGAGGATCAAACATGCTCACAACTTGTGTGGATCTCACTTAGTTTATAACTAATATACTCAGCAATGTGCGACTTTTCTGAAGAGCTTTTATCACAATGTTCTTTTTCATACATCTTCTTTTGTCTGTCTGTAAGCACTCAAAGATATAGGGCTCCATTGATTTTTTTCCTTGCCCAAATTCCATTAGTCTCCTATATTTTGATTCTAAGAGATGGAAACTAACAGCCAAATGGCATGAGAGAAACACTTCCTGCTATTATGCACTTACAGTTACTGTCAATAGCATTCCAGAAAGATCTATCCCTCTGAAATAGCATGGTAATTTTTTCTTGATCTTTGGTTATCGTCTTGTCCCTCCATAAAGCCAATATGAAGTTTTTTTTTTGTTGTTGTTGTTGTATGAACCAGTACTCTAGATAATTGGTTGTTTGAGGATATCAATTAGCAACTTTGGAAACCAGGTTAGGGGATCTGAAAGGCCAGCAAAGAGGAGGACATCTTAATTTCGGAAAGAAGCTCTGTGTTTTTGTCATAATGGTCCTTTTCTACTGCTCCAGGAAAGATTTCATAAATTTCCGTCAAGTACTTCCTACATGCAATGATATACTTGGGCATTCTCAAAGCATTTGGAAATGCATCTTTCATTTAATATTTGTAAATCACATTAATTTTTCAGAATCAACTGCAATATGGAATTTCTTTCTGTCTCTAGTTTAACCCTGTCTACTAATGCTAAAAAATGTCTAGACAAAGCTTTCAGGATAGAAGCTCTTCCCCTAGCCAATAAGGTTTTCCATGGTCTGATTTTTGACTTTTGTTGGCCTTTCCATCCTCCCCTCCTGCTGCACTCCATATGCAGCTTTGGCTCTATCCATAGGAAAGTTCTTTGGGTAGTAAGCAGGTCACATAATTCCACATGCATTCCTGAAATGGAACATATATTTTAGCTCAAGCATCACTTCCTCTGGAAATCCTCAAATCTCCAATTTAGTTTGGAAACTATTCCCCATGCATATTTTTTATTAATAGTATTCATTAGCCTGCCTCCTACACTAAATTATAAGTTCGATGACCTTGTCTTATTTAATTTTATATCCTCATACCTAATACAATCTTTGGCACATAGTACATGCTCAATTAAAATGTGTTAAGTAGTGAATTTTTTGAGCACTCATTGTATGCCTATGGGACATCTAACCAGTGAATGCAAAATTAGGACATATATACATATCTCATCCAGTCACAAGCATTGGAAGCAGACTTTATTCCCTCTGTTTTACAGTTTAGGCTCTTGAGTGATACAGGGGGGTGGGCTATAATCCAGGTCTGTCTTGTGTCATTACCCAATGACATCTTAACTAAAAGCAAAAACTGAAAATAAATAAATAAATATGCATAGATACACATTCACATCAAGTATCTATTACGTGCTTTCTGGATTATCTCATTTGGTCTGATTACAAATTCTGTTTGTTATAATATGTAAATGAAAAGAGCCAAACTCTGCAAAATATTTGAAGAAATTTATTCTGAGCACAAGTGACTATGGCTCATGACACAGCCCCAGGAGATCCTGAGAACCTGTGCCTAAGGCAATCGGGGGATAGCTTGATTTTTATGCATTTTAGGGAGACATAAGACATCAATCAATACATGTAAGAAGTACATTGGTTTGGTACAGAAAGGTGGGACAACTCAAAGGGGAGGGGCAGGGCTTCCAGGTCATAGTGACTGGTGATTGGTTGAAAGAGTTTATGTAAAGATCTGGAAGCAGTAGAAGGTGGTACCTAAGTTATGATAAGGGATTATGGAGACCAAGTTCTTATTATGCAGATGAAGCCTCCCGGTAGCAGGCTTCAGAGAGAACAGATTGCAAGTGTTTCCTAGACTTAAAAAAAGTTCCAGATTCTTACTTAATTCTCTCTTGGATCAGGAAGAAGATTTGGAAAGAAAAGGGGATCCTCTGCAGAATGCAGATGTTCCCCACAAAAGACAGCTTGGTTGGGCCATTTAAAAATATATCAAAGAAATATATTTTGGGGTAAAATACTTTGATTACTTTCAGGACCTGCTATCTATCATGTTGATATCTTATTGCTACAAAGAGTCTGCTTGTCAGTCTTAAGGTTTCTGGTTTTTTTTGTTAATGCTGGTCAGCTATGCCTGAATTCCAAAGGGAGGAGGGTATATAATAAGGCATGTCAGACCACCCACTCTCATCACAGCCTGGACTAGTTCTTCAGGTTTACTTTAGAATGCCCTTGGCTAAGAGGAGGGGTCCGTTCAGTTGGCTGAGAGGCTTACACTTTTATTTTTGGTTTGCAAACGTCGAGTAAGCAAGTGGATCTTCAGTTAGGAGACCAGATCTAAGTATGCACGATTAGCAAGACACATTTGATAGCATATATCTACACTCATATCGTACCCCCAAAAGAGTGTACACTTTTTTCTCGTTTTTTTCTTGTCTTTGATGATGGTGCTTAAAGACAAAGAGAAAAGATGCCCCCCTACCCCGCACTCCCTCAAATCTGCAAGTGTTTTTGGGCTGTGAGAAGCAAAGAGTGTTTTGTTTTACAGATAACGGCGACTGTGACTGTGGTGAATGTGTGTGCAGGAGCGGCTGGACTGGCGAGTACTGCAACTGCACCACCAGCACAGACTCCTGCGTCTCTGAAGACGGAGTGCTCTGCAGTGGGCGAGGGGACTGCGTTTGTGGCAAGTGTGTTTGCACAAACCCCGGAGCCTCAGGACCAACCTGTGAACGATGTCCTACCTGTGGTGACCCCTGTAACTCAAAACGGTAATGTCTGCTTTCCTCTGTTTGGATAGGTTTATGGTGATCAAACTTATAATGGCCTTTTTGTAAACTCAGACCTCAGATTGTATTTGCTGGGTTTGGTCTCCAAACATCCATCAAAACACACAAACCCACAGGACCTCTGTGATCCTCGCCTGGAACATCAATCTCTGGCTTACCTCTTTCTCAGTCCTGATTAGGCAGAATCACAAGGTCACATTTCTGCTAGAGACTAGCGTGGGGAAGTCAAGCTGATGTCCCACACTGATAACATCAGATCACCTCTCCATTACAATACCAGCCACACATAAGGAATGCCCTGGAGGTAGACGGAGGACACCCACAGGCAGTCAGTACCTTTTCAGGGGAAACAGACAAGCTTCTTTCTTATCTAGTAGTTTATAGCCTGACCTTACTAATTCATTCCTAACTATAGACTCACAGAGGCAAAAAGGCAGAAAGACGATCTTAGCTTTCAATTCTCTCCTGCTTCTTTACCACCCATGTTCTTTGGCGCCTTTCTTTGGTTGCCATTATGCACAGCTATTGTGTATTTTCTTTTATATCATATGTACAATAACAACAATAAAACCTCACAATTTCTTAACGAAATTGGGGCAACATTTGTAGGTCAAGTGAAGCTAGCCTCCAAAATGGCTGTTATGATGTTGCAGTGGATAATGTATTATGCAGCAAATATGCATAAGCATTTCAGATTTTCACTAACTCCGATACCCAAAATGGTGACATTTGCATTTCTGACATAAACAGAGTGAGAAAAGCAATTTTTCACTCAGTGGTTACTCATCATTCAGGTGTCAAAACTTCTCTTCCACCGTCACTGGCAAACTAAGACAAGACACATGTCAGGAGAAGCACAAGGACATAATTAGGATGATTTGAATAGGATCTAATGTAAAATGTCCCTTCAAGATGTTTCTTCTATTACTCTTCTGTTTCATCTTCTCTATAAATACGATTCAATCTTAAATCTGAATTATAAGACACAAAATTAATAATCAACGCCGTTTGAATTTGGAAATCAGGTAGAATGATCTCCTTGGTATTTATGTTAGTTTGGAGATGAGTCAAGTTTTCCATTTATTCACACATGTATTCATTTATCAAGTAGGTATTAAGTGTCTACTGTATGCTAAGAATCATGTTAGGCCATGAGCAATGCAATGATGACTGAAACAGCTCCAGGCCCTGCCTTCACAGGTGCAGGGAGTTTAGTGGGAAAGATAGATATCTTTTAAAGTGATTGCAATGCTATCTACACCAACCGTTTTAATAAGGGATATAGAGAATGCTGTGGAACTCTACAGCAGGGGATAAGTCTACCAGACTAGCTAGTGCAGCCATCAGTGAGATGCACAAAGGTGCAGAGATTTTAAGAGCTTCCACATCAACAGACCCCTTCAAAGCCACTCCAAATAAATATACAATCTAGATAAATGCAATGTATTTGCAATGCCAAGGCAAAACTTCACAGTAAAACCTTTCCCACTGCCTGATAGGTTGCTCCTCCTGTGGAAAAATCCTGAGGCTTCCACTGCAAGGGAACTGATTGGTCTAATGTTTAGTGAAGGTTTGCCTAAGGAAGTGCAGTTTCAGCTGAGATTTGCTGAGTTATGGGTGGGGGTGGGATGTGTTTCAAGCTCTTAGTAGAGCATACATTTCCATGGCCAGAGGAGAGAGAGACCGCATAATGTGTATCCACAGTAGAAAACTTTTGCTGTTTTGAATTACAACAAGCACAATCTATTTGTAAAGTGATTTTCAGCACAAGATTAATTCAGGGTCTAAATTTTACTTTGCTCTATAGAAGTCTTTAGAGTAGCTTAATTCTTGGATGATGTTCTTGGAAATATACTTTTCTATAAATAGTGATCTTTTATTTAAAATTCTGTATTAATGAGGATCCAGGCTCTTATCCACAGCTTTTGAAAACATCTTCATTAAGACTTAGACTTACTCAAAAGAGTTACAGAAAAGTGAATTTTTACAATAATCATATAAGATAATACAAAGTCCACTAATCACCCTTGGAATTCTGGTTAAGGTATAGACCATTTCTGTTAAGAAATCAAAATTTTGCCTCGTCTCTAATCATATTTTAGGAACATAGCTCTCCCTAGGAAAATGTAAAATGAAAACAGGTAAATCAATAATTTATTTGTTTGTTTACTTCACCAATCTGGAGCAATCATTACAGGTAAATAAAAATAGTAGCTATATCAAAACTGGCTCAGGGAACATTGATTACTGAGTGGAATTCAGAATAATTCAGTGTTCACTTGGACATCACTTAACTATCTTTTTGAAAGTAACAAAAGATAATGACATCTGTGAGTTACTCCTATAGCACAAACTGCAGCAACAGCAGTAAAACAATATTCAAGCTGCAAATCTATCTTCCACCAGCATGAACTGATACATTGTTGGATACTGTCCACAGGAGCTGCATTGAGTGCCACCTGTCAGCAGTTGGTCAAGCCCGAGAAGAATGTGTGGACAAGTGCAAACTAGCTGGTGCAACCGTCAGTGAAGAAGAAGGTTCTGCTTAAGTTTTTTGTTTTTTAATTTCCTTATGTCGTTCTTGAGAGGCATAGTTCTTGATCCTTTGTGAGTTGAGGGCTATTTAGTACCTTGACTTTATTTGTACCAGGGCATTAGCTCACTGACATTCATTTTTTAAGAGTAAATGCATCCTATAAGCCTAGAAACTTGACGGCTCAGGACACAAGCATTTCAAAGTCGTGGCTGTTCTATTTGACTTCAGCTCTGCCAAGTTCACCTCTGTTTAACAAATTCAACTGTAGGGAATTCCAGAATGCTATATTTTTCCAACTAGAAAGGGAGAAAAATTGAAGAAATGGCTAAATGTTAGCCCCCAAACCTGAATTCACCCTTTATCATCCAATTGCTTTTTTCAAGATAAGATAAAGCCAACTGGAAAACAGAGTTCCAGATGGTGGCTCCCAGATACTGGGTGTTTTCTGGTTAGTGACCATTTTTCCTCCCCTCCATATACTTTTATTCCCAGCCTTCCAAACATGGGCATTACCATGGCCATCCTTAATTCCCCGTTGCCTCACCCCCCAAAATACAAGAAGGACCTATTCTCTTTATGCTAAGCAAACTGCTCTTGCTTTCATCTGTCATTTTAAATTTAATTACTTAGAATCAGAGCCTAGAGGCAAAATTTCACCTCAAATATTTAAAAAGTTTTGTTTTTAACTGGCAATGCTGTTTAAACAATAATTTGTGAACTTTAAAACAAAGGTGATGACCGACTCTTCCAACAGAGACAAGCTGGGGGAATTTAACTTTGTATCATCCTGAACTTGCTGCATTATCATGCAGCTCAGGGTAGAATTACTACTCTGCACACATTAGAGATGTGACCAAGATGTAGCTCAGGTGAAGTGAAATAATCAAGCCAATAATGTGTGACCCTCCAGGATATGTCTCTTGAATAGATGGAATTAGAACACAGAAATTAATCCATCTTCAGTATAGAATGAGTTAATGAACTTTATATTATTTTGAAAATTACTTACATTGTTTCAAAATTGAGAGTTCTGGCTCTGCACTATTGGATTATCCTATATGGAGGGTCATGATTTGTGCTCATAAAACCCCTCACCAATGCTTTTCTTGTGACCAACAATAAACGTGCCAAATAGCAGCAAATTAGACAAGATGGTGTGCAGCTTACCAAAGGCAAGATACATCAAAGCACTGAGCAGGCAGCCTCTGTGGAATTCCCACATTTGTATCTGGTGCAAAGTCCCAGCATCACCTCTGGGTTCATTTCACAGCAAGCAATGGGGATATTTACCAAGTGTTTCTGAGAAACGTGTACAAATTGCAGAAAATGCTCTGCGAATTGCTAGGCCTCGGTGCGCTAGGAACATGGGAAGTCTAATGTGTTGAGGAAAAAAAGAAGTAAACCTTACATACATGTAAGTCATAATGGCATGAACAAAGTACTTACTATATTTAAGTACACAATTTTTTGAGTAGATTATCATAAATGCTGAGATTGGAGAGGAAGACTAGGGCTCCAGTGGCATTTAAAATATTTACATTTTTTTGTGTATTTGATTAAATTATTTCAAAATAGGGAAATACAACCATTTCTAACTCAGAGATTGAATATAAAAATTGGATTAGTATTTCATTTACAGTATTAATTGGATGAATTTGAGAGAAAAAATATTTTTAATTTAGGCTGTGTTTAAAAGCCACTTTTCTAGTGAGCCATTTTATGAGCTTTATTTCAAGTTACTCACCCAGTTATGTTACTGATCATACTACCTTGAAATGATCATCCTAAGAGTCTTTTAACAACCTACCCTTCCCACAACTAGGGGAATTTTATTTTACTCCTGGAGAGTAAAATAAAAACGCAACTTTATAATCTGTATGATTGTTCCTCAATTGTACTGTAGGTGGGCATATCAAAAGACATGCTATTAACCTTATTTATCCCATTTTACTGAGAGTCTTTTTTTTTTTTTTTTTTTGGAAACAAGGCCTCACTGTATCTCTCTGGCTGGAGTGTAGTGCACGATCAAGGCTTACTGCATTCTCAACCTTTCAGGCTCAGCCTAATGACTCCCTGGGATGACAGACGTGTGGCACCATATGCAGTGTAATTTTTTGTGGTTTTTGTAGAAATAGGATTTTGCCTTGTTGGTCAGGCTGGTCTCAAATTCCTGAGCTCAAGTCATCTGCCCGCCTCAGCCTCCCAAAGTGCTGGGATCACAGGTGTGCACCACAGTGGCCAGCTTGAGAGCCATATTTTTAATTTACCCTAGCACGCAGGTACTCAGAGAATTGTTTCTCAAAGTATATTCCATGCAACCCTAGATGTGAAAGCATTACATGGAAAAAGGCGTCCTGGTCATATAAATCTTAGAAACAGGAAACTGGATTTCTTGTTTTCTTTGCAGGACTTCTAAGAGTTGTTATGCATTTAAATTAAATGTGCGTTGTGCATCATCAGGAATGGCAAGGGGAGGAAATGGAATAAATGAAGGATTCTCAAATTTATCTGACCATAAACCCCTTATTTTTTCCTTGGGAAATGTTATTTTTCTGTTTTTGCTGTTACTTTGTTTTGTTTTATGAAAACTGCTAACTAATCCTAGAGCTGAGGTCTTAAACATACCGCCGTCTTGACTCAGTGGTACAGATGCTTTGTATTTTTCACACCATCCCTGGACCTTCCCAGGCCCACCTCCTCACCCCTGTTTTCACATTTCTTCCTTCTCTGAGTATGGTTCCATGGACTGCCTGGCTTCTTATTTTCATTGTATTATTCTAGAGCAGCACTGTAGACATTCACAAAGGAAAAGAAAAAAGAGAGGTCCATTTTCTATGAACAACAAAAGAAAACCTTAGCAGCAAATTACGCAAATCTGTCATTGCACATTTTATAATACTACTTCAATACCCAAACACTACTGAACAGGCTACATCTAGAGCTGTAACAGTCATGAAAAGGAGTGGTGAGGTAATTAAAGCAAGATAGGAGTTGTGACTCAAAGATCATATTCTGCCATTCCATTAACACTTAAATAACTCCGGCCAGGTCAAGTAAGCCTCCTTAGGCTTCAGTGCAGCTATTTGAAAGAAAATTTTTAAAAACATGGTTAATATTACTGAAAGGAGTATGATAAGCCATTCACATATTTCCTACCTCAGAATAAAATGTTCCATTAAGTATGTTCAAAGGGAGCAGAGTGAGCCTGCACTGTTACTGCAGAGAGGGGGAAGGAAGCCAGAAAACACTCCGATAAGAAAATGCAGAGTCCCCAAGACTTTATGAATTCTAGTTAATTGGAGTGGCAAGGTAACAGGAGGTGTGGTAAAACCCAAATGAAATAACCAACATATGAATTATATATGCAGTAGCATTTGCAATCAAACATATGAAATAACACACATCTCACCAAATCTCTTAAAGAGACTCACCTTCTTAAAAATACTTATTAAACAACTCACTAAGTGTACAAGCTCCTGTGCCTACAACCAACTTCTCGAGTCAGAATACCCAAGGGTGGGTCCCTAGAATCTATGTTTTCAAAATTCCCAGGTGACTTAGATGACCATAATCACTTGGCAATGACGAGACTAGGATGATTTGTAATTAGATTTCTTAATATTCCCATGTAATAGATCTTTCTAATGGGTTCAGAAACAGTTTGTGCACTTAAATCCATCATCTGAAATCTTATTTATAATGCCAAATGTCTTGCTGGTTCCTGTTTTCATGGATAATACATAGCATTCTTCTCACAGACACTGTTGGGTTTTTCATCTCAAATGAAATATAAAGACCACGAACGGCAACTTAAGAGCTATGGCATTTTTTTTGTACCAAAAACAGGCTATTATTTAATTTTTCTTAGAATCAGAAAACACATTAGATTCTGCTTTATTAATGTTTTTTACTTTTAATCTAATGAGAGAGGCTATAAGTCTAGTAGAAGTATGTTCAAGATTATCAGGGGCAGCCCCGGTTTTAATGTTCTGGTCCATTGCAGCATAACGCACTAATTTTGAACCTATGTCCTAAAAGTTTAGATTAAGAGAAAAAGGTCTTCTACTTACAGGTTTCTGAGAAACCGTCATTGAAAAGTCTTTGTAACCGTCATTGAAAGTTACATTACATACAAAGTGTTTGTAACCGTCGTTGAAAAGTCTCCAACTTAAAAGATAAGAGAACAGTTAAGCAAGTTTGTTTGTTTTGTTTTCTTAATTAGGAAAATGCCACATAATTTTGACTTAGGTCCTGTACTACTAAAATTTCTGGTAGATAGTATTGGCATCTTCATTTTACTTTCTTTTAATTTCTGCTATAAAATTTATTTTCTGCCTCTTGAATAAGCTCAATAAGAAAAAAATTCCCACTTGGAAAAGACTTGAGGAAAACTGGATTTTTTTTCAAATTAAGAAAGGAGCTCTACTAAATGACAGACAAACTGTCACTGTGGATTCATTTACCTTTGATCCTGCTGTCCCTGAGCTACATAATGCTTCAGTCTCAGTTTCCTGATATTAATTTATATTACTGTTGTCACAATACATGGCCAGCAATCTTGACTATGCCAGTATGAGAAAGACGCCTTAAAAGTATGAGTATCAGTTTGAACTGTGCAGGAATGTAATCTAGACATCCTTCGTGCTCTCAGCAAAGAACCTATAGCCTTCTCATTACCATTATCAAAACCATTCTATTCCCAAGGCAGCTGTGGGTACCTGCCATGAATATGTTCAGCCTGTTGCAATCCTGCCCGTATCTGTTTGATAGGTACATTTGATGGTCAGTCCTGATTGACCACATCGGGAACTGTTCTTCCGGAACGTGAGTAAAAATTAAAACCTCATTTAATGAGAAAAAAGAAACCTATGCCTTTCCTATTCTCATTCTGCATTATTGAAAACTCTAATTTACATATTAAAACTCAATATTACTTTGTTTTTAAAATAATCTCTTTTGGAATCTCGTTTAACCAAATGACTCCATTATCTGCAGATTTCTCAAAGGATGGTTCTGTTTCCTGCTCTCTGCAAGGAGAAAATGAATGTCTTATTACATTCCTAATAACTACAGATAATGAGGGGAAAACCATCATTCACAGCATCAATGAAAAAGGTGGGTAGTTTGCCTTCCACTGCCAATGGCAAGTGATACTACACAGGAGAAGAGTAAACAAGAAAATCACTCTGGGTAGCATGCCAGGAAAGACATTTCCAAATTTTTGACGAAGTTCCTTAAACTTTCCCAAGGATTGAAAGATATCAATTAGAAGGTTCAGTATGTTCCGGTGTCTCTCATTAAGACCAAATAAGGGCCAGGCATGGTGGCTCACACTTGTAATCCCAGCACTTTGGGAGGCCAAAGCAGGCCAGTCACTTGAGGTCAAGAGTTGGAGACCAGCCTGGCCAGAATGGTGAAATCCCATCTCTACTAAAAATACAAAAATTAGCCAGGGGTGGTGGCACACACCTGTAGTCTCAGCTACTTGGGAGGCTGAAGTAGGAGAATTGCTTGAGCCCAGGAGGTGGAGGTTGCATTGAGCCAAGATAGTGCCACTGCATGGAGCAAGACTCCATCTTAAAAAAAAAAAAAAAAAAAAAAAGACCAGATCAGATGACTTGTAGTTGCACCAGTCATCATCTTCCTAAAAGTTGGCTGATGAATTATAGAAAGGCAAGTGGATTCAATGCAACGTAAGCAAAAGGTGTATCTTTAGAAATGGGTAACAGAGAAGAATGTGTCCATTTTTTCTAAGAGTGTGAATCAGGCAAACCTTGGTTCAAATCCTTCCCCACCATTTCATGGCTGAGTGACATTCTAGAAGACACTTGCATCTCTGAGTCTCTATTTCCTCATCTGTAAAATGGTATAGATAATAGTACTTTTTTCTAAGTGTTGACTCAAGGAGTAATGGCATAATGCACTAAAATAGTGTCAATACCTAACTCAAGTAATAGGTCATTAAATGATAATGCTGAATCAGAAAAGACATAGCAGCAAGTGAGGAAGGATGTCAAGGAATCCATTGCTCCTGTGGATTTTCATCCACACCAACTCATAGAGTCAGTTTGGGACTTGGGAATACCTTAAACACTTTGTATTCAGTGAAAGGGAGAGAGAACTTTATATTTAGTAGAGAAGAAAGTAGGGGAGAAGGTATTAAGACTTTGATTGAGAAGGATTCAAATTTTAGTGGGTATCAGGCTCCATTGAGGAACTTGTTAAAAATGCCTATATCCTGAGGCAGCATCATCTGAGGTGTGGTCCAGGCCTCTGCGTTTTAACAACTACACTGGCAAGCCTGATACAAAGGGTCCCAAAATCTCCCTGTGAGTGACAGCCCTAACAACACGGACTGTGTTCTCATTTTCTCATAGGTGCCTCATATTTTCTGTCTTTAATTAGTGATGTGTTCCTCCCTGAACCGTTCCTGCAGATATGACAGCTGCATTAAATCAGGCCTCATCAGACCTTGTTCACAAACTCCTCCCCGCAAAAGCATGGAGCCTAAGTTCTGCCACAGACAATAGCGATAAGGCCAGGCCATAAAGCAGATAGATGTGTTTTGTTGTGTGTGCTTCCTTCTCGATGTGCTGATAAAATATCAAATCCTGAACTTGAAACCAAAGGTATCAAATTGGCATCACTTAAGAGCATAAAAACCACACCAATGTCAAGGGAACCAAAACGTAGGTTCAAGACCATTATATCCCAATCAAGAAAACGTATCAGAAAAAAATATCACATTGCAGTTGCTAAGGGCAAGGGAGAAATAGAGGTTGGCACAATCCAAGGAATCTGAAGATGATTGTGAACTTGGCCTTGAAGCTCAGGTATGCAGAGTGCTCCTGGAGACTCGCTCTGGAAAAATCTTATGTAAATCATCTCCTTAGAAATGCATACATAAAATGTGTCTTATGGCCGTTTATTAGGGAAACATAAGGTAAATCCTGCCGTACAAGGAAGAATTACTTTCTAATACCAAAAAAGCCTGCCTGCTCATTATCTGTCTTATAAAATAAAATTCTCCAACTACACTCCTGACCCTTTGTGACTGTGGCAGTGGCTTTAGCAAGTTATCTTGAAATCAAAGCCATCCCTTACAGTATTGATTCTATTGAAAAAGTGAGTTCCAAACAACAAAAACAAATTTCCAGAATAAGTCCTGCTTTTAATTCAGAGAATTTTCTATCTAGTTAGTGATTTTTTTTCAGTGAAACATGCCCTGGGCTAAATGCCTCCTCATTACTGAACTGTTGTCTGTTCTTTTATTCTTCCACACAATGTGAGTGGTACCACAAATGCCATTCTGCAGAGCACGCACAGATGCCCTGATGCTTTTTATTATGGAGTGTTATTATCCCTATGTTTTTGTAGTAGGAAAAAGTGAGGGAAAAATGACCTCCCTGAGGCTTAATAAGAGTCACCTGAAAGCTTCCAGGCTCCCTCTTCCTCAGCAAATGTCTGCATGGTTGAGTAGGCCTGGGGCTTCCAGGAGCCAGCAGAGCGGAACCTGTCCCCGAAGCTCATAGTCTCTCCGGTCTCCCATCTTTCAGACCAGGTAGCCTGGTGGAGGCTTGGGTAGAGGCAGCAAACTGAGACATGAGAAAGGGGAGAGATTGATGATCCCCAGGGTCCTCTAAGCAAATTGAAAAAAGAACTGAGTGAAGGGTCACCACTAGTGTGCTTGTGGACATAAGCACCTTCTTTCATCTTCTTTCTTTCCTCTACCATCTGGAGGGACTTCCAGAGCATAAGAGCCACAATGGAGTCAAGGAATGATAGTTGGGAAGGCTCCCTGGCTGGAAAGTACCAACTGGGGTAGATGCTTTACCCACAGGTTCCAACTTGGAGGCTTCAGGCCCTTGAGGTGACGAGGATAGAAAAGGGGAAAGAGTGCTGTATTTGCTGTATCTATAATAATATTATTATTTTAGCAGCTCTCATTTTTTGAACCCTTACTAATACCATTTGCCAGATGTTGTTCTATGTATTTTACATGTATTAATTCGCTTAATATTCTTAACAACCATATTAAAACAGGTACCACTATTATTTTCATTTTAAAGGTAAGGAAATTGAGGCATGGAGATATTAAATAATTTGCTAGGTCTGGCAGTAATTATGTGCCAGAGCTGATGTGGGGAGCTCTAGCAGCCTGGCCAGGAGCCCATGGTCTGAACCACTGTGCTCTACTGCCTCCTACTGGCTGTACAATTATCATACATTTCTGAATTACAAAAAGATGTTAGATCAGCCTCATCCAACAGAACTGCTAGGCAAATCAATATATAATTTAAATTTTTCTAGTAATTACATTAAAAAGTAAAAGAAAGAGGTAAAATGAATTTTATTTACCATGTTATCCAAAATATTGTCATTTCAACATGTAATCAATATAAAAGCTGACATATTTTACATTTTTTTCATACCAAATGTTCAAAATCAGTGTGTATTTCACACATATAGTGTAACCTAATTGGGAAAAGTCACATTTCAAGCACTCAATAGGCACACTAAGCTACCAAATTTGGTAACACACGTAGCAGAGTTAGATACGCAGGACCTTAGAAGTAGGTGCTGCACAAACCTGCACTCGATAGGCAACACGGTACACAGTGATAGAGGTGACCCTCTTCTTCCATGTAAAGCTCAATTTTCAGTCTGAGCATCTCAAGAAACATCAGAGTATGAAAAGTGAAGATTTCTATAGTGTAAGACCTTCTCTGGCACTTGGGCCAAAATCTTTTCTTGAGAAATGGTTAGTTCCTGAAGACTTTCAGTTCTGAAAATAATTATCTCTGCCAGACCACACCCATTCCTTCTTTAGTCCCTCCTGGAGGAGCCTCCTAATGCATGTCCAGGTGCAGGATTGTAGCAAGCTTCTTCTTGCTTTGAGCAGGAACATACTTTGCCCCACCCCAGACATTTCTTAGCCAAAAATGTAGCCAGCATATATTCTCATGATACAAGCCTGCTACTTTATTTGCAGGAATGTTGCTAACCTATTAGAAGCAGCTATGGTTCATTTGCTATGTGAGAATAGAGTCTTTAGATCTTCATACAGTAATAGCTATGTCATTAGCTCCTTTACTTATTTCTGCATAATTTCTTTACATGGTTTCTTGGACAAAGAACAAAAATGTGTGAGACCAGGCATCATGCTGTTAGTGGGTAATTAGTCCCACTCAGATTCACATCGACTCTAGATCCTTACCTTAAAGATAGTATGACTGGTCATATGTGTATAACTGTCCTTATTAAATATCTAAAAGCAGTAAGACTTAGGATAAACTAAGCATGATTCATTTCCTCCCCGGATACCATGGATTTTGCCTCATTTCTTGCAGAGGGATGCAGATATGTAATGATAAATTTATGTGGGATTTTTTTCCATGAAAGAGGAGAGTATAATTATGATGTTTCATTAAGAAATGTATCATCTCCTAGGCATACTGTAAGGACTATTAGTCATTCTGCTGTGAATGAGGAAAAGTACTATATGATTGCAAAATTATATTAATATCATCAATAGAGTCAAAATAACATTTCATAAAATATGCAGGTTGAATATAAAGTACCCTACAGAACATCTAATTTCCCAAACTTCCTTGAAGATAAGAATCATTTAGAATATTTAATAATAGAAGATTGGTGGCCTTATCCAATACCTACTGAATCAGAATACTGGGGAAAGGGAAGCTGTGTTAGTAATAAACATGAACACTTCAGCTTATTGTTATCATCAGAAAGGTTAAGGGAACACTGAACTTTGTTTTACAGATGAAGGGCCTGAGGCTCAGAGAGATCGATGGGCTGGATCACATTCACATAGCTACGTACATCAGATGGGAAGTGAATCCACCTCTCCTGACTCTAGGAACTTCCCCCAAACCAGACTACTGCATTACAGTTCACCAAAACAGAACTGAAAGCTATCATTGTCTATTGTCTGTAAAGAAAGAAGGAAATAGTAATCTTTTCAAGGGGTAGGTTTTATGTAACGTTTAATAGTCTCCTAGACCGCCCATGATTCAAGAAGGTCCAAGAAAAAGTGATTACATGCAACACACACACACACTCCATTTCTGCTTTATCATGGACTCAGAAGAGACCATTTTTAGTGATTAAACTACTTTTTTTCTAAATCCTCTAAATATTCCACGTGCGATAATTATCACTCTTTTGTATTCTCTTTTAAAGTCAGCCATCAAGTCTAGATCCATTCACTTTGAGTAACTAAGTTCTTCCTTTATCTTTTGTTCTACTTTTAAGGAATGCAGGACTATCCTTCAACAAGTTAATCATTTTAAAAATTTCAGCAAGGCAAAAATGGTGTCAATATTTATCCTCTGCTGCTGAAAATACAGATGGAAAATCCAATAAGAAATGGCTTTCCAATGTCAAACTGTTGATTTTACCACCTTCTCATAATTTTCTTTATTTTTGCAGATTGTCCAAAGCCTCCAAACATTCCCATGATCATGTTGGGGGTTTCCCTGGCTATTCTTCTCATTGGGGTTGTCCTACTGTGTATCTGGAAGCTGCTGGTGTCATTTCATGATCGTAAAGAAGTTGCTAAATTTGAAGCAGAACGGTCAAAAGCCAAGTGGCAAACGGTATGTAGAAACTTAGAGCTACTCCTTGTCTAGGGGAGAAAGAGGCTGGTGGAAAAGATTGAGGGGCTCAGCTTTCTTCTGTTCTGAGAGTTCAAATGTCACATTTTTTCTCTACCACTCTCACCATGATCCCAACAGCTTTGATTTCTGTTCTGCTTCAGGGTCAAAGGAACCTCTAACCATTCTTTACACCCAGATGATCCTCATAGCATATCTCTGTCTCAGTGCATTGGTGATTTCCACCACAATGAAGAGTCTCTTGAGGCTCCTGAGACAGCTGCTCAGGGACATCAGGGAAGTATATTTTACTGAGTCCTTCCTCACCACTAAGCATATCCCTCAGGCCCCATTTGATAAAGCACAGGTGCTGTATCTAAACATTTCCATAAATTGATTTTGTTATAATGAATGGAATAATGTTCATAAGTAGTATGATAGTTCATGCCAATTTCTATGGAAGTACTTGTTACTAATCCAGTAGGTTACAAAGCAGAATTGAGATGATTTTTTAAATGCCATGCAGTTACTTTTTCTGAATAACATAAATTTTAAACAGCGACCTGAAATAAACCAAAAGTTTCAACCTTTAAGTATGTAAACTCAACGGAAATAGTTTAAGTGTCTTCTCTTCAAAGGAGGCAAACAGAAAATAGGACTATAGTTTTCTGTGTTCCTTTTCCACAGGAGAGATAATTACATTTCTAGAGACCCATAGAAACAATTTCATGGTTTTAATTTCATCTCTCTATCTCTAATGGTGTGTCCAGGTATCTAACATCAATTATCTTACATTGCTGATTGCAACAACGATATCACTGGAGGAAATACAGGCAGACACAATGCTTCTTTGGATTCATCCACCCAAATAAATTGATGTTAACAATTTTTATAGCAATGCCTTCAATTCAGAAAGCAAATGGAATTTTCCATTTTTGATACATTTATCTTGATAATGGATGTTTATATTTTATGCAGTTATTCTAAATTAATCATAATATATGGTACAGTACAATGAACAATGACAAATTTTATCTACTTTATCTTTCATTAAAAATGCCTTTTGGATCATGATTTCAGCAGTCCACCTTTAAACACCTGGAAAAAAGGATGGGCATGGTGCCTGGCACCTGTAATCTTAGAACTTCAGGAAGCCAAGACAGGAGGATTAGATCACTTGAGCTCAGGAGTTCGAGTTAGGCAGCATGGTGAAACCCTGTCTCTACAAAAAAGGAGTATAAAAATTAGCCAGGCATGGTGGTGCACACCTGTAGTCCCAGCTACTTGGGAGGTTAAGGCAGGAGGATCACTTGAACAAGGAGGTCAAGGCTGCAGTGAACCATGATTGTGCCACTGCATTCCAGGCTCGGTGACAGAGTGAGACCCAGTCTCCAAAATAAATAAGAAATAAATGTATAAAACTACTGAAAAGATATTAATAATACTGGGCATTAGAGTGATAGCAGGTAAGTATGGTTCATTTGATTAGGTAAGATAATGGCAATGGTGACATTGCTAGAAAATATCCATATTTTTTAGAGATGCGTATTGAAAGAGTGGAAGGAAATGAAAGCTGGAGTTTGCTTTGAAATAATTCAGCTGAGAGAGAGGGATGGAGAGATAGTTGAAGCAGGTGTGGCAGAATTGTGATAACTGTCAAATTTGAGTGATGGGTCTTTGAAGATTTGTTGTATAGCCTTTCCTCTTTTTGTAAATGTATAGATTTTCCATAATTAAGCAAGATTCCTCAGGAGAAGATATAATTTACTCATCCCTAATGATGTAAAAGGTAAACAGACAAGGTAGCTCGGCAACTTAGAACACAGTACTAATGAGCCCAAAGTTTTAGGACAGTTCACTTCACCTGACCCCTGGCCACAGATGTTATTTTTGACTCTCATCTACTCTCCAACAAATGCCTGGCAATGGTGAGAAGGGCAATCAGGTAAAACAATGTAGTTAAGTTGCCACAAAGGTCAATAGCAGCAAACCCCATGACATAATCCTGGTATTCATTCCCATTTTGAAAGAAGGTAAATTGAGGCTCAGAGAAGTTAAGGGACTTCCCCAACTTTTGGTGCATGGTGAAGCTGAAGCCTAATTATTAATTGTTCTTCTAAGCACAGCCTTTGATTGACCCTCCTGGAAATAATAAGCAGGTGCTCCACAAACATGCACTTGGGCAACTATGTGATGTGTATCTACTAACCAGCACATTTCAGTGTTCTCATACAGAGGCATAAATACTGACAAGTGATTAATATCTTTAAAATAACATTTTAATTAACAGTTAATTTCCCCAAAAACATGAATTGTTTTCCCTCAGGATGTACAACGTGACTGAAATTCAAATGCCAAATTTTTGTTGTTTCTTCATCTAACATGTGACCCAAACATGCATTAAACAGAAAACCAGCATAAATGGAAAATATTATTCCCTTATTAAATTGAGTTTCTTTGAATAGCAAATGTTTGATGTTCCTGACTAGATAATGACTGGGTAGTAATTATTCACATGGATACAAAAAAGGTTTAACTCAAATAATTCAGTTTAAATTTTACTAATACCTACTGGAAAAAAATGTTGCTCACTGCACACATTTTGGGGTCTTCAATTCCATTGAGTTTTTCTCTAAAACCTATTTCTTCTTCAAGAAGTGGATTTGACTGGTCTTTGAAACCCAGGGCCCTCCAGGGACAATAGGAACAATCTGGCCTCCTGGCCATAGGACTGCATTGGACTCAAAGTGACAGGGTTCAAGACAGAAAGATCTTTATTCCCACCTCCTGAAACATTTCAGAGAGCTGTAAAGAAAGGTTGCCTTTTTATTATGCTGTAAAAATAATGCCACCCCCACATATTCTTTATAAAAACACAAATGAAACATATTTAAATTCATCTTTGATTAGACATTTTTTTCTAGGATGACAAGTCATTAACTCGAGGCAAAAAAATGTTCAGCCTGACATTTCTTGAAGTCATGGATTGATATTGTACTGTGCTAAGCAAATCAGGTCTGCATTTGGCAGTGAGGCCATCATTAAGGAAGCTGTGGGTCATGACAGAGTTTTCTTATTACCACTTTTTCAATCTTGAAAAATGTGCCATTGCATTTGCAGAATCAACAGCCTAAATTAGCACTCCCAGACTCCTGGGGGAATCAGCCTGGTCACCCCAGATGGTTAGGGGAAAACTGACCTTTTCTGAGCAGTGGAGTGCAGACTCACCTAAAATAGAGCAGTACTCAAGCCTGCATTTCTGCTGGAAATCCTGTGTAGAGAGGTTCCAATCGTCAGAGCACTAGAGGAGGCAGTATGGACATTTCCACACCTCCTCCTGAAACAAAACTCAATGTATTCTCTTGACCTCTGATCTTCAGCGAAGGCCAGGAAATGCCCTACCACACACAATGTCAATATGTACTTGCTCTTTGTCCACTTTTACGCTTCCACCTTACCCTCTTACTCTGGTGAAGTCTGCTCTACCCATCCCTCCCTATAAGCAATGTCTTGGCCCTAAACCAGTTTTGCAAGGGACTCACAAAATATTGCAGACCTGAATGAATGAAGTTGCTTTAAAATACAGAATGAAAACTCCACCATCAAAATTAGACATTCAACTAAATATCTACTAAATAACTTTGTTATCCTGTCAACGTCACCTCCTCTATAATGCATATCAGTGATATTAAGTGTGGGATATGAGTGTATTTTCTATGTTGGACATGATATAGGGTGTGCCTACAAACAAGTACCTGGTCCTACAGAGCTCTAAACTGACCCTATTCACAGCCTGTGTCCTCTTTCAAAGTATTGTCTCTGTTCACAAAGACTCCCATTTCCAGGAGAGGCTCACACTGTCATTGCTGGCTTGAACCTCTTACTTTTTTACATCTTGTTTCTTCAATTGAAACAGTAACCAACTAGATTCTAGTCTCTCAAATTTAGTAGAATTCCACGCATGATATTTGTTTGCAAATGAGACTCCATCTACATCTAAAATCACATCAGTCTGCCCTTTGCCTTCAAAATCTCAAATTCTTAGGGCAGCAGAACTAGATAAGATCTGGAGGTCCCTCAGAATTATCTAGGCTGCTCTCAGGAATTGAAGCAATATGCCAACCTAGCTTTCACCCACATCCACCACCAGCCAAGAAAGCTCTTTTCTGTTTGGCTTTTTTATACAGATAGCATATCTCTTCAAAGGCACAAACGAAGGTAACATGTCACTCAGTCAGAGGTCAGGCCACTGGCTCTGGACAATGTAGAAATTGGTGCAGGTGTGATTCCCACTCACAATGAGGGCGCTGAGGCCAATGAGTGGGAAAGGCCAGGGAATATTTCCAGTTTTATTCAATTCTTCTGAAAGCTAAAAGAAATGTACCAAGCAAGCAAAGACAATCAGGTAATCATGTTTCTTTTCAAATCTACACCTAGAAATTGCTACCATAGCTATAATTCATGGAATAAGGTGACCAAAGTATGAGATTTTAACAACTTTGGTACCTGGATTCAGTACATACTCAGTAATGGGCTTAGAAATGTTAACTATACCAAAGCCCTGGGGGAAAATATCTTTATAATCTTCTCTAAAACTTAAAAGAAAAGGAAAATCTAAATGTGAAAAAAAGGTACAAGTAGGAACTAATGAATAGAGGCAGCATTTATGGAGCGTTTTCTATGTGCTACACATAGTGCTAAAATACTTTACCTGAATGAGGTAGGCACAGATGTGGACACCGAAGCTCACATTCGGTATGGTCATGTGGTGCAGCTGGGTTTGGACCCAGGCTGTCTGATGCCATAGTCTGTGTGGTCATCCTTAGAAAGTGGGAGAGAAGAAACTGTACCTTACCCATACAGCTTCCTCCTGCCTGGAACAACTAGAGAGGCTTGGCCCTTCTGAACCTTCAGATCCTCTTGGCTACAGCACCACTGCTGTTGGCACATGGGGGAACATCTACAGCCCAAACAGCATAGCTGAGCTACCCAGGAGTCCCAGTCCCAACCTCCCCACTCCCCCCAGGACAAAGCCATTTTGCCTGGCCTGTCTTTGGACTGCTACTCTTTCATGACCCCAGGGTCCCCCACATCAGTCTCTTGTGTTTGTCTTACACAGTGTTTTGCATTGCAAGCAAAAGACAGCTGGTTCTTTGGCTACTTAGGGCGAGTGTTAGCTGTCCAGAGAATGGTTCCTCACTCCTCCTAAGCAACTACTTTCTCCCCTTTCTGAGTTTTAATCTCATCTTAGCATGATTATTTGTGCCCTTTGTTTGATGCCTCTCATCAGTAACACGTTTGTTAAAGGCAGATACGGTGTCATTCATTTTTGTATGTTTCTAGCAGTTCAACTTTTCCTGTTTTTTACTTTTTTGGCTTTGATTTCACTTTTGATTCACCTATCACTGTTCATGCTACTCATTCCATACATACTGAGTACCTGCTCTGGGGCAGGGACTCAGTGCTGGGAAAACAGCAGGGAGCACGACAACCAAAGCCTTATTTTCTATCCATAAATTCATGCATTACTAAAAGGGGTAAGATTTTTTAGAATATACATATGGGACTTGTTCTGTATATTTAACAAAATGAAAATATATAAATTGTAAAACACTGAAAGTATGAAATACCAAATGAATCAAAATTGTTCCAACGGTTTCCAAGATTGAGCTTGACTCTACTTTTCCAATTTGCATTATATATTAAAACAGTGTGATAAGAAAATACACATACTTTCACTTGAATCTTTTTTTTTTTTTTTTTTAGGGAACCAATCCACTCTACAGAGGCTCCACGAGTACTTTTAAAAATGTAACCTATAAACACAGGGAAAAACAAAAGGTGGACCTTTCCGCAGATGGATAGAACCACTTTATGCATAAAAAAAGTCTGTTCACTGATATGAAATGTTAATGCACTATTTAATTTTTCTTTCTTTGTTGCTTCAAAATGAGGTTGGTTTAAGATAATAATAGGACATTTGGAGATAAGTCATTCTCTACATGAAGGTGAGAGAGACTGTTGGCAGGTTCAAAATAATCAAGAAGAGAAATATCCTTAGCAAAGAGGTGACTTTGGGGATCATTTGAGGAATACTAACTCTGTTGCATTATTGCCTCAAAAAAATCATCAAAATGATTCATGGGGGCTTGATTTGCATTTGAAAAATGTTTGAAATTAGAATCTCATTTGTTTCAGGAATGCAACTACCTGAGTTCTTTGTCTCAGCAAAGTCACAAAGCCCATATACTCAGATTATATATCTATACATGCCAATTAATTCTAAACTTGTAGGAAATATACCCTCTCTTAATCTATGAGAAATGAGATTCTGGTTTTACCTCAGCTAAGAGGATGCAATTCTTCTGAAGATATCCCAAATATAAGGATGAACATTAGGTGTTAATAATTTTTGTGAATTTATACACACTTAAACGTTAAGTACAAAATTTGTTTTACAAATGAGGAAGAAGTAATTTATAAATTAAGAAGTCACTTATAAAAATAAAAAGATAACAACTCTATCAGTTAGCATATTTTTAAATTACCTGAAAAATGATCTTCTACACTCAGTTTTCTTTTTTACCCTGAGTTTTCAAACTGTTACTTCTCTTATATTTCTCAGTCCATGTCACTCAGTTGCAGTCTTTTAAACCCTGTAATTGTCAAATGAAAGTTTCTTTTTTTAAAAAAAAAAGATTACTCTAAATGGTTAGTTTATTCAAAGAGAGCTCCAATAATATAAACAGAACATGTGTTAAATAGAATAAAATTTTAAATGGCTCAAGTCAAGCATATCAAGAGTATACAAGTCTTAAAGGCTTTTTAATACATATTATTTTCCCATCTATGTAACCCAATTTGCACATTTTAGCTGCATGTGGTGAATATGCATCATATAGTTACTATAAGAGGTAAGATTTTACTTGCAAAATACATGTGCAAATTAGGGATCCATCAGTTGATGGAAGAGACGGACTCTAGAATATTATTTCTTATGGTTATTACTTCTTTACAAAGTACTTTCATCTCACTTGATCCTCATAAGGAAACTAAGGCTCAGAGTGAGTAGAGCTGGGTTCAGAATCTAGATCTTCTAACTCCAAGTCATCTCCTCTTTCCACTGCAGGAAACTGCCTCTTTTGTCAGTGAAATAATAGAAAGATTGTGTTAGTTAAGCAATAACAGTCATGTCTTTGAAAATGTACTGAGACTAAACAAATAACATTTAAACTACTGGCATACAGATGAGGTATTGTACTTTGTGCAATGTTTATTACCTTTGATTAATTGTAATGTGAAGACTTTTACTAGGTGAATAGTTCATGATGTAGTCGAGGCTTTGTGGTTGTCCATTGAATTGCTGCAGCAAAATCTGTAAGTTTCTTCAGTTCTACAAGATAGATCTGTATACATTTGATCACTTGGAGACTCTTTTTCTGCTGGTTCCTGAATAACTCAAGTAAATCAGACCTTTACAGAGTACCCGGCTAGATGAAAGAATTGCTGAACAATCACCTCGAAAATCTGAAGGGCAGATATACCTCCTATGTTTCCTGACTTGCTCACAGAACCCGGGAGAAATCTGCCACAACATATAGGTTGCAATGCTGAGGACACAACAGCACTCCTCTCCTCTACGTGGACTTACTGTTGTATTTTTGTATTATTATTGGAATGGGATTTTAGAAAATAGAAGTTACCTTTGTGTGTGTTTTAGGGTAGAGTAGAATCTGCTCTTTCTCTGAGTACTGTTTTGACCCCAGGCGGGATCTTGGAAAGGCCAAAACATCAACAGTAGTACTTCTGTTCACTGAAGAGTTATGTTACATGAAGATAAAATGGTTTTGTCGTGTTTATTATTGTATTTTGTGTTGATGTAAATAAACATAGTAATTTAAACAATGAACCTTAGATGGATGATATTTTCTTTTATTTGTTTGGTACAAAACCCTCTTCTTGAATTTCTGGATTCCTCTGTGACCTGCTCTGACTGCCTTGCTCGTTTTGGTCTGGGGCCAAGGAGAATAGCAGAAGGAGGCAGCCACAGAAGGCAAGAGACAGCAGGGAGCAGGCTTGGACATCACCCCCATATTTTGTAAAGTCAAATATTTTAGAGTTAGTGTTATGAACTGAAATATATTACCTTCTACCCCCATTAGCCCCTGTCCTACCAAAATTCATGTATCGAAGTCTTAACCCCCAGTATCTGAGACTGCAACTGTGTGCTTAGAAACAGCACATTTAAAGAGATAATTAAAGGCCGGGCACAGTGGCTCACACCTATAATCCCAGCACTTTGGGAGGCCAAGACGGGCAGATCATTAGGTCAGGAGTTCAAGCCCAGCCTGGCCAATGTGGTGAAACTCCATCTCTACTAAAAATACAAAAATTAGCCATGTGTGGTGGTGGTCACCTGTAGTCCCAGCTACTCAGGCAGCTGAGGCAGGAGAATTGCTTGAACCTGGGAGATGGAGGTTGCAGTGAGCCGCATGCCTCGGCCTCCCAATGTGCTGGGATTACAGGCATGAGCCACAGGTCCCGGCCAATCTCCTCTTCTTATAAGGACACTCCAGCCTGGATGATAGAGTGAGACTCTGTCTCAAAAAAAAAAAGAGATAATTAAATTAAAACAAGGTGACAGAGTTGGGCCCTGGTCCAGTATGACTGGTAGCCTTATCAGAAGAGGAAATTAGGACACAGACATAAGGAAAACCATGTGAAGATACAGGGACAGGGTGGCCAACTACAAGCCAAGGAGAGAGGTCTCATAAGAAACCAACCCAGTTCCCACCTTGACCCTGGACTTCTGGCCCCCAGAACTGAGGAAAAAATAAACTCCTGTCGTTAAGGCCCCCCGGTCTGTGGTGCTCTGCTACAGTAGTCTGAGCACACTCACATGGTCAGGGAGTCTATTCTGCCCATCCATTCGTTAGGCGTCATGGTGCCATGCTTACCTTCTAAATCAGGAAAATTAACACAGAGAGACCAAATGCTGGCAAAAGGAGTCAGGTTACTCCCTCTCTTAGGCCCATTTCTTACAAAAGGACCGGCAAAGTCAAATCAAGAGTTACTTATATTCTGAAACACACTCTCTCATAAACTAAAGGCCAAACGTCTGACAATCAAGAAACTGCTCCTATTTTGAACAGCACCAAGAAAGTCACTTTTCTTCTTAATTTTTCCATCTGGAAGGTGGAATGCTTGTGTCTTCTAGCAGCTGTAACAATTCCTAACACATTAGCAACTCAATAAATTTATTCAACAAATATTTGTCGAATGCCTGGTTTATGCCACTGTTCTTATGATTATGGATATGGTGAACAATGAACAAAACAAGCAATCTCTATGCTTCCAAATGAGAGAGAAAATAATAAACAAGTAAATATATGTTATCAGGGTCCTGGACCCAGTTTGTGCAGATTCCAGATCCACCTGGCTCCACCTGCCTCCCAGGCCTATGCTGTGGAGCCCAGCACCAACCTGTGCAGTCCCCTTGGTAGTAAAACCCCAGCTTCTTCCTAACTCCTCACAGGTTGAGGAGCTGCTGCAATTCCTGTGCCCAAGTCCAGAGTAGCTTCCCTAGTTGCTGCCTCAAGGGACCACATAACATGACAGGGAGGTCCAGGGGAGTTAACACTCTGAAGAATGAATGTAGATCCAGAAGAGACAGAGATGGGAAGGAACCAGCACATGAACAGGAGCTGAGCCACCATCAATGTCTTCTGGGGAAGCAGTGGCCAGCTTCCAAATGCTTCATCTTGTATCTGCATTCCCTCATCAGCTGCCTCCCTACCCTTTTTCACTGGGATAGCACCTCCCAATAAAACATTAGCACATAACCTTGCTTAGTTCTTATTATATAAGGAGCCTGGACTAAGACTGTCTAGCAGTCCTAAGAGCTATGCAGAAAATAAAGCAGGACAAAAAGCTACTCAATACCCTGTGAAGGTGTGCCTTTAGAAAGAACCGTAACTTCCTTAATCTTTTTTGTTTTTGAGACAGAGTCTCACTATCACCCAGAATGGAGTGCAGTAGCATGATCTCGACTCACTGCAATTTCTGCCTCCAGGGTTCGACCAACTCTCCTGCCTCACCCTTCCGAGTAGTTGAGACTACAGGCATGTGCCACTATGCCCAGATAATTTTTGTATTTTTAGTAGAGAGGGGGTTTCCCCATGATGGCTAGGCTGGTCTCAAACTCTTGACCTCAGGTGATCCTCCCGCTTCTGCCATCCTAAAGTGCTGGGATTACAGGCGTGAGCCACCACATCCTGCCAAGAGTTGTTATTTCTGAGCAGAGAACTGCATAAGGAAGAAAGTTAGCATAAATTCCTTTGGGACATGGACGGCAGGGGCCTAAATATTGCCCCTCTGTGCTTTGGAACCATCCAAAAGTGAATCCCTCTAGACTGGGCAAAGGGTGGAAAACTTGATCTTCTTTCTCATTTGGTTACACAACCAGCAAGGGAGCAGCATGGCACCCCAGAAGTTTTGCATCCCATGAGCTCTCCTGGAGCGAGACCCTGGGAGAGGCCTAGCAGTCAAGGCCAAGCAGTCAAAGGCACAGATTTGACTGCCACTAACCTACCCCCTACTCTTTGGTGTCATTGACATGGAAGACTTTACAAATCCCACAGAGGATCTAGTTCAGTTTGAAATTTTAATCTGACCTTTGCAATTTCCAGGTATGTATTTTATGAAGGAACTTACTGCTCAAATACTATTTACTTTTTCCACCTAAAATGTATTTACATTTATGGTCTTGCATACCAATCAGTCCTGTTCCAGGTCAATATCCAAAGCTCTCATATCAAGGAATTCTGTTGTTTGTCAACAACTGACTCAATGAAAAGTCACTATGTTTATTTTTTTCAACAAATTGACTCTGCTATATGTAGTATAAATGTGTATATATGTGTGTGCATAAACACATACATATATATTTCTTTCTTCTTTGAAAAATTATATCTTACTAGCATTAAAGAGCTTGCATTGTTAATAAAAACTGGGGTTAAAAGAAAAACATTAGATGAATTAAGTTTATCAGAGTTTAATTGAGCAATTCACAAATCAGGCAGTTCTTCAGCCAGAGTAGGTTCAGAGTGACTCTGGCAGTGCTGCATGGTCGGAGAGGATTTATGGACAGGAAAGGGAAAGTGAGGTACAGAAAACAGAAGAGACATGCAGAAACAGCCAGATTGGTTACAGCTCTGCATTTGCCCTATTTGAACACAATTTGAACAGTTGGCCGCCTACGAGTGGTTGAAGTATGGCTTCTGCGGTGGACTGAGACTGGGCTACTCATTACAAGAGTAGGTTATAGTCTGTTTCCACGCCCATTTAGGTTACATCATTATATATGGAGAAACCTTTAGGCCAAATTCACCAAGAGGCAGATTTAAGCTAAACCTAATTTAATTTAATGTAACGCCTACTGTTCTAAGTACATTATTCATGTTAACTCATTCAGAGCTCACAAGGACCCCATGGGGGGGCGGTATTACTTTTATCTCCTATTTTACAAGTGAGGAAACCGAGGCACAGAGCTGTTAAGTAAATTAAGAGGTGAGTGGCAGGCAAGCTAAAGAAGCTTCATCTGTATTTACAGCCACTCCCCATTGCTCACATTACTGCCTGAGCTCCACCTCCTGTCAGATCAATGGCAGCATCAGATTCTCATAGGAGTACAAACCCTATTGTGAACTGCATATGCAAGGGATCTGGGTTGCATGCTCCTTATGAGAATCTAATGCCTGATGGTCTGTCACTGTCTCTCATCACTGCCAGATGGGACCAACTAGTTGCAGGAAAACAAGCTCAGGTATCCCACTGATTCTACAGTATGGTGAGCTATATAATTATTTCATTATGTATTACAATGCATAATAATAGAAATAAAGTACACAATAAATATAATGCACTTGAATCATCCTGAAACCATCCCCTTGGCCAGTCTGTGGAAAAACTGTCTTTTGTGAAACTAGTCTCTGTTGCCAAAAATGTTGGGGACCTCAGAGTTAGATAACACAGAACAAGGGTTATATTGTAAGAGGAGAATGCTGGTTCTGAGTAAATATGGTGGCAGTTCTTTAAACTAGACTTGAAAAGAACAATATATAAACTAAAATCCGACCTATTGAACTCTTGGGGCCCGAGCAATTCTAATGTGGGACCCTTTTGAGATTAGTAGAGCACAGAAGAGGAGACCTGCTTCCTAATGGCTAAAAAAAAAAGATGGGTCTGTCAGTTCAGAAGGCAGAGTATCATACTGTGGACTGGAGTTGAGTGGCTTCAGTGGAGCATGGACCTGTCAATGCTGCAGATTGAGCAGAAGCCTAGAGACAAGCAGGCACAGGGAACACAGTGGACCACTGGAACCTTGGGAGTGGCCTAGAGGCAGACACTCAGCACATGCAGTGGAAGGTGGACAGCATTCTGGACTTGGGCATACAGCTGTAGAGGCCATAAGGAAGTAGCTGCCTAAAGGAACATCCCCAAAGGAACATCCCCAGATACTAGAGGTGAGTGTGAGCACTGGAAGAGGCACCTCAAATCTTCCAGGGACTATAGTAAGGAACATAAAATTCAGGTGTTAATGTTAAAAAGACTGTTCATTCCCACTGGGCACTAACACTTGGAAAAGGTTTGGGACTCAAAGGACAGACATATTTGATATGAAGGTAGACAAAGGAAAACCAATTTAAAGTAGCATTTCTCAAATTAACACCTGTAGACCATTAGAGGTCATTGCTCAGTTCTAAGAGTAATTTTACAGTCATGTATCTTATTCAGTCCTTTCCCTAGCCAGTCCTCCCAGAGGAACAATCCACCAAACAAATCACAGGTTTTTCTAGGAAGTAGGATGGCGATGGGAAAATAAGAAGGAAGGAGTGGAGGAATGATGTA